GGGGGGGGGGGGGGGGAACCCTCAACTTTGCACGTGTGTGATTCTTTGATTCCACGGCCTATCGATCCCTACTCTGTTTCTCTCGTCTTCTTCCTCTTTCTCCCTTCTCTCTCAGCTCTCTGTACCACTCTCTTGCTTCTTTTGAAGTTATGATTTTCTTCCACATATAGACAGAATAAAAAGAGTCAAAAAGCGGAGATAGATATTTAACTTTTCTTGTTTTCTTTTTTTTTTTGGCTAAATTTATTTTTCATTAGTTTCGTATATCCGACGTGGAAAATACTTATATAAAATAATTAGTTACCTATCAGCTTTAAATTATTATTACTTAATTAATGGGGGAAATGGGGTTTGCTCCTTTTTCAGATCATTTTCATAACTTATTTTTGCAATTTATTTATTAAATATTCGAACTGGAAACACATTCTTTTAATATTAGGCGGTTCATGCGGAGTTGGATTGAGACGGCCCGGACGGGCCCAATTAGTAAATTCTTTTGGGCTTTTTCCGTACTATTTGAATAGACACGTGTGAGTTTCTTATTGGTGATCGATCGTGATCCTAACCGGTGTGCGGTCACGCCCCAACGAATCACTAACTGACACGTAGAACGCGAATCTTGTCTCGACATCTCTCTTTTATTTTTCCCAAACTAATTAAAACCGAAATCTATACCCCTATTAAAATAAAATAATATAAAAATATGGGGTTAAATTGACGGGAGAAAAGTATAGAGTTTTTAATGGAATTACCTTTATTACAAAAATATATATATTTTTATTAAGAAAAAATGTGGCACTAAATCATGATGGAGCATGCACGCACGTAAAGAAATGATATAATTAACAAGTAAAACGAATCGATATGATTCCCGAGGTGGGCGAAATCATGGCAATTGGCAAATCCATGGGCCTCGTGAGGCAAAAAAAAGCTCTTAAACTTTTGCCCCATAATAATTCAAGCATCGATTCTTTGTTATATCTCAACAAATACCGAATTTTTCCCGTTTTCTTTTCTCTTCTTGATTCGATTCCACATACAAAAGCACGCATTATATATCTATATATATATATGCATATATATATATATATTCGTAATAAAATATTCTCGTGGCATTTTCGCGTTAGTGAAAAAAACTGCACAAAGGATTGAGAGAATCTAATTCATAAAAAAAAATCGTAAGCAAATGGGCTGAGATTTAAAAATTTTAAGTTGGGCCAAAGCCCAATTGCTTTCCAAATGGGCTTTGGCTTCTAACCATTGGGCTCCAGATCAGTGGAAGATTTTAGGCTCAATGTTTTGTTGATTTCGTCTTTTATCAATTCCTCTTTTTTTTTCTTTTTTTTTTGGAACCAAATATCTAAATGTCCACGAAAATATCGTTAAAATAAATTTGTTGGGCTAACCAGCGAGGAGTTCCAACGAAACCGGACTCTGAAATAGGTCACGGGTTATGGTTGAGAGCCGTCACTTTAGCAAAAAGCCCCACCACGACGAAAGAGAAGAATCTCTAGGAGTCAGGTGGTCGGTTAGGCCGCCCACCCAAACCGGGCCCGGTCCACTTACAATCACCACCCAAACCGTTCCCTTTCAAAAGATATACGGCGCGTGTATGTCGAGTACCTTTCACCCTATTATTAGTTATTATAAATATAATATATATATATATATATATATATAAAAAACGGGTCCATTTCTCATTTTTCCTCATATTCTCTGTTTTGTACCATAGTGAATTACCGAATTTAATCTCACGTATAACTATCATATATATAAATATACACACACTTTACCGTGACAGAGTTATATTAAATGCTTTTATTAATAATAACTAAATACAGAATAATAATAATAATAATAATATAATTTTGAAAATGGAGTGTAATATGGCATGGAAGAGACAGCGACTCCACAAAAGGCCCGGAGAGGAAGAAGCCTCCAACAGTTTTCTTGATTGGGTCCACGTTACGTGTGGGGCAACTCTATCCATCTATACTTTTTTTAGTTCCTATTTTTTATGGTTAGAAATTAAATTCCTATTTTCATTTATTCATTGTTTTGTAGTATAGCCTTGCACTTCAATGTTTTTTTCTATTTGATTATTTAAAAATAGGCAGAAGGGTTTTGACTTGCTCAATTCCTTTTTAACTCCAAATTATTTATATTTTGTTAGTTATAAAACAAATATGATACATAACATATATGTATATAAAAGATTAGGGTTTCGCGTGTTTGGATCGTGATAGATATATATGTGGTAAGAGTATAAGATACATTCGCGCCATCCATCGACTTTGTCTCGTCTCGTTTCTTTTTGTTAACGTGCTTTGATATTTGTGGACCGCATCATTTGACTCTGTTGCCGCATGAAAATTACAAGGAATATTGTTCCAAAACATGTCCTCTATTGGCAACTCCCTCAATTTTAGAACTATATATATATACATACACGTGATATTTTAGTGTGATAATTATATCACACAAAGGACACTTAAATATATAAGGGGGTAAAGCGTAAACCTTTCAAGATGATACAATCATAATTTAGTATAATATATATATATATAGATAGATAGGTGCCCCTTTTGATTTTGATTAGAAATGTTAATATATTGTTTAAATTAATCAAGAGACTCCTAGATTTGCACACGACAGCTGTCGCCATCATCGCATCACAACCTGCTCCATGGAAATGGATACTATAGTATTTGCCCCTATATCTTATATATATATATATATATATACACATTATGTATACTGAATACTCACACTATGCATTCTCTTGTGAGAGCCAACTTAACACCAATATATATATATATACACACACACACACAATATCTCTTTACATTCATTTTTTTATAACAGTTTTCTCCATCACATGTTTTCAATTTACAGTTTTTCTTCCGAAGGGGACCAAATTCTCAACATTTTTCGATGACAATGGGACAAAGATACAAACAAAGGATTTTAAAAAAAATATACAAAAAAATAATAAAATAAAACATAACCCTACAACTTGGTGAATTATGTAAAATATACAAGAGGAGGGTGGGTGTGGATATATACGAGACAAAGTGTGGGGATACATTAGGAGGCGTTTGGGACAGAGGCGATGGTCCTAACCCTATTTCCATCTTTCTCTTCCTAATTTTAACACTTCACCTCCTTGCCCTCCCGTCTCATTTATTTTGTTTCCCCTCGATATATATCACCCCCCAACTACTCAATTAATTTATCACTTTATATATGTGTGTATATACATACAACTCCTCTAAAATACATATACGTACGTGAGGACATAAGACGAGTGAAATGTCTTAATTAACAAGTACTAGCTACTGCTTTTTATCCACGTGGTTTTTTCTTACAGCGATTAGTTGTTTATTTACAGCGATTAACTTACTACAGAATCTAAATATATATAGTCTCTTGAATTTCTCACTCTATCCAAGCCAAAAAACAGAACAACAACGGTCTCTTCTTCTTCTTCTTTTTTTCATATCAACAAGCACTGTCTTTATACTCTCTATACATGTTCCATAATTTACGACTAACTTAATCGTTTAAGAAATCCATGTTTATGTTTGGAATATGGTAAAATGCAGTATACAATCTATATTTGGGATATATATAATCATACGAAGCATGCATGTATACAGCCAAAGAGAAAAGAATCAGAAGGATTCTTTCATAAAAAAGAGAGGCACAAGAGATTGTAGGTAGAGAGGTCCCCTAAGCAATTTGGGTTTAATTTGTAAACAGTAAATGGTGAATGGTAAATTAATGGTAGATTGCTTTTGTAGTTAGTTGCCTTTGAATTAAAGACGTAAGAGGGGGTGCTTGTAGGTCACAATTTTTCAAATTCACAAACTATATTTCATTTACATAATGAAATAAAAAAAAATTGTTTATTTATTATGAGAATAATATACGACTAACGATCCAAGACTAGGTGAGTTATGCAATCTTTAGGCTTGTGACCAAAACCCACGTTTTTAAAATTTGCATGCAGTTGATAACAAGCAGAAAGTACGAAGAAAATTAATACTTTGAGCCACATATATATTATACACAGACAGGAGTAAATTTATGGCAATTTGCCGTGTATGCAGGTCGAATTCCAAAGACAAGTTCAAATATTTGCAGTCGTATTACTGTCCACTTTCTCATCATTTCTATTTGTAAATTATCTATATATATATCGCTAAGATTCGTATATATACACTTATTTCTATAAGTTTATTATTTAATACTACGTACTGAAAAATTATATTGAATTAGAAGTGACATAAATAGGTATTTTCACGCAGTCTCAAATGTCAAATGCCCTAATGTTTGATATTTATATATAAGGATATTATATTATAGATTATCAATATATATTATTGTATGTAACGGTAAAATGAAATGGACATATATTAGCTTTAAAATTGGTCAATTTATTGATCTAATTTTAAAAAAAAAATGCACCAATTTGATGTTTGATAAAAAAAATCTAAAAACTAATTAATGTATAAAAATCATAATATAATTTTGATTCTTTAATTGACATAATCAGAAATTTAAATTTTTTACTAAGCTTTATAAGATATCTAAGCTGTTACATATAAGATAAGGGTCATATGGTTTCTAAGCTGTTGCTATTGATTTTTAAGCTAATTAATTTATAAAAATCATAGTATATGTCGTATTAATCAATACTGTTTTGTCTAACCTGAAAAAAATGATTATTAATTAGATTAACAAGTTGTCGAACCTCGTGATTCTCAGTACAATACATGTATACATATAGTCGCAAGCATATTTATGCCGACACATGTGTGTGTGCGGGCGCATATATGTTATATAGTATTTCATATCGTTTCGTTGTTTTGATCCATATGTTCAAAATTTTTGGACCACACACATGGAATGCATCCGCAACCAGAACTACTTTCCCCTTGCGGCTAGAAAAAAAAATTACATGATTAATACAAGATTAGTTATGTGATAAGATTGTTTACACGTAGAGATTTTAAATTTTAAATAATTATTTAATATAATCCACTTGAAGGGTATATATAGTCAAATATCGTTTCTTTACACGTGCACCCACGTTAACTAAATATCATCGTATCTATAAATTTAACTTTAGTTATTAAAACAAAATCAAATTGTTCTAGAGGCGTGTTAATTAGAGATCTGTATGTTATAAATGAACTACCTTAGTTTTAGATACCAAACCAATTACCGAAACAAATCATTTATTTTGTGATCTGCAGTTTGTGAGGAATATTATACTTGGCTAATTAGATCATAGGATAAATTCTTTTTTTGGTATCAAATCATAGATTATTAATGAAATGCTAGAAGATGCTCTAAATGAATAATAAAGATTAAAAAAAAATGCATGCATTATTCCATTTAAAGCTTGCAGATTAACATAAACAGCAATTAGTTTAAATCAGTGGAAATAAAAGATTTACAGCAATAATACAAGAATCTGATTTGGGAAAAAAGGAAAAAGAAATGAAAAGGAAAATAATGTCCGTGGATACTCTCAGACAAAGGGATAGAACCATTTACACTTATCACACAACTTAAATAGATATATCTACATATACATACATACAGCCATACATGTATATATACACACCCGCAAGCATATATATATATATATATATATAGGTATGTGCATATGGCTGATATAAAAGCAAAAAGAGCTAACCCAAGAGACTCATGAAAAGGACAAGAAGCTCACATGAGCCGAACCATATCATTCATGGGCCCCTACGTTTTACTCACTATTCATCACTCCCTCTCTCTCTAACAAATCCTTGATCCGTTGTCTGAATAATTTCAAAGCCACCATCTTCTTCTTCACTCATCACTAGAGAGAGAGAGAGAGAGAGAGAGAGAGAGAGAGAGATCAGCTTGTTAGGCAGGAATCCAATTAACTCCGAGATTCGTTTTTTGGAGTCAACGTCGAGGGAAGAACTACATCAACAAACAGTGTTCTTCTTGGATTTGTGTCTGCATATAGTTTGTTCTAATTCTAGGGTTTTTATCTTTCCTCTTTCTGGTCAAAAAAAGAAGGCACCGACCGTCTGAAACCCGCCGGACTTCAGGGAAAGGATCGAAATTCAACCCCAGGAATATATCCCGAAGCATGCCGCGTCTACATCTCTCTCTTCTGAGGCGAGTCCATCAACTTTATTTTTTATTTTTATTTTTAATCTCCTCTCTTTAGATAATTTATTTAATTTGAAGCCCTCTTTATTGTGGTTGGATTTTCGTTTCGTCTCTAATATTATCTCATGTTCGGTGAAGATCTCGAGTTGGGTATCACTCATCACTATGATCAAGAACAAGAATCCAATATCAATAATCCAAGAACAAGAAAAGGGTTCAACACTCTTCATCAAGAAACACTGATCCGTCTCGTATACCGAGCAAGAACCAAGATCGCGTCGAAAACTCGGGTAATTCTCATGGATCTATCACTAGGGACCACGAGCTCGGACCAAGAACATGACAGAGATCAAGAAATGGCGGACAACAACGCGAGCATACTGATTCCGGTGGAGAAGGAACACATGTTCGACAAAGTCGTGACGCCGAGCGACGTGGGGAAACTTAACCGCCTGGTGATACCGAAGCAGCACGCGGAGAAGTACTTCCCGTTGAACTCATCCAGCAGCCAAAACGGCACGCTGTTGAACTTCCAGGACAGAAACGGCAAGATGTGGAGGTTCCGTTACTCGTACTGGAACAGCAGCCAGAGCTACGTCATGACCAAGGGATGGAGCCGCTTCGTCAAAGAGAAAAAACTCGACGCCGGAGACATCGTGTCGTTTCAACGCAGCGTCCGGACCGAATCCGCGAAATCAAGGCTGTTCATTGACTGGAGGCACCGTCCCGACATCAACCTCGTACAGAACCCAGCAATACCCTCCTCTTCACTCCTCCATCATAACCAGTTCGGTAATTTCAACTTCAATTTCAATTTCAACTTTCCGACGCCGGTCCAAGGCAACAGGCTACCAGAATATTCCGTCCCTCGGGGCTTGAACTTTGGTGTCAGTAGTAATTCGTATCATCAGCAGCATCAGTACTACCGTCAAGAACGAGAGATCGTAGGGTATGGATATGGTAGTTTGGTCGGGCGATGCTGGCCGTTGGATCAGAGGAACCCGAGTGGATCAGATCGGTTGGTGATCGACTCGGTCCCGGTGGTTCCCGGAAGGATAACTCCGACGGTTATGGCCCCACCGCTGCCGCCGGAGGGGGCTGCCGCGGGGAAGAGGCTGAGGCTGTTCGGGGTGAACATGGAGTGTGGTACGGACGATCACCATTCTTCTTCTTCATCAGGGAGAGATATGGTGGATGAATCATGGGAACGAGAAGGCGGGTGTGGCGAAATGGGTGGATCGTCTTCTTCTCCTTCAGCTCTAAGGCTAAGCTTGTCAGGCGATGATGATCAATTTGCAAAGAAAGGGAAATCTCTGTGTTCTTTTTCTCTTGATTTGGATCCATGATAAGCGGTATCTTTCTTCTTCTTTTTTCAAATGATCTTCTTCTGAGATAAAATGGTCGATATAATCTAATTGCGAGGGGAATTAGATTCTAGTGAGAAGAGGGTTCATGCGAGAATCAACATCTTTCGGTTTTTTCCCCTTTCTTGTAGAGTTTTTGTTTCAAGTTGTTTTTGATATCCAGTGTTTTAGGGGCTTGTTGGAATGTTGAAACTCGAATCTTGCAATTGTGTATATAAATATTTAAGAAGATGAAATTATGTTCATTTATCTATATGTTGTCAACTTTTTTCCATTAACATATTTCCTTCCCCCTTCCATAATTTCCCGGGTATTGCACCATGAAATAACTCTCTACAGGAACTATAACCAGTTTGTTGTGAAGTGATTCGCTAATCGGCCAAAGCAACCATGTTCGTCCTTTTCGTCTTTGTCTTTGTTATACTTTTGGATCGATGAGTGGAAAAAAACTTACAAGTTTCATAAAATCTGTACTATGTGCCTATCTCCCTACACTGACAAAGTTTCATGGTACATTCAAAGCTCATGGGCAGTTCCAAAACTCTCTCTCTCTCTCTCCCTCTCTCCCTCCCCTTCTATGTATTCACTTCTGGTCCTAAGCCTACATAGTTTGTCTGGTTACTGCTGTTTTGCTTGGTTAAAGAGAATTGCAGGTCATGGGCAGAAAAAAAGGACTCAAAGTATTTCGATATTTATTTTTTAAAAGAAAAAAATTTAAATAATGTGATCTAACAATCAAATTTTTACACTTATCAGTTACTATTTGGTTTCTTCGTTCGAGATCTTCCATAACCCTTTGTTTGATTTTTTTTATCCAACAGCCCATCGTCTTGTTTCGGAAGAGTTCGATGTGTGTTTTTGCCAAGATAAGGTATATCCCTTGGGATCTTAATCTTATCATTATGAGCTCCGAGAGCATGCATGCTAAATATCATATGCCAATTGCCATATATATGCTCATCATACGTATATATATATATATATATACATATATATCATCTTGTATTCGCATTTACCTAATTAGTTTGGCTGCCGAAAATATATATGACACTATTTTTGTTTACCTTTTCTGTGCTTGAATTCGTTGGAAAATCATTGCCCCAAAAGTTCTCTTTGGATCTTATTTATAACTGTATAATTAACCACACATATCTTAGAAAAATTGTCCATTTCTATAATTTGGACCTATATAATCATATGGTTTTCATTTCCTCATATGCTCAATTAGATACCAAAGATAACAAAGGCATAAAATTTGATTACACAAACGCACACGCGTACGCATATAAATATATATACACCTCGCAGATACATATATACACAACTACGTCGCTAAAAAGATCTTGCATAGTTGTCAAGAATATCTTATGTTTGAATATAAATATATATATATAAAGAGGGCAACGAAATATACAAATGAATAGTAAAAGGTGGTGACATAAAAAAAATGTATTAGAGGGTTAAAGCACATAATTTACAATATATATATATATATATATGTGAATGATGGAAATATAATATGTGAAAAATAATGTGGCATGCTCCAATTATTGGTAATGAATAAAGATTCATTCTCCACATATTCCTAACCTAAAAGACAGACTGAACATATGTAGGCCGGTTAGGGTTTTTATAGGCATGATTGATGATGATAAGGAAACTTCATGTGGGGTGCCTCACTTTTTTCGGTTTCATTCCAGAAATCCTTATTTATATAATGTTGGTTCCTTATAATAATGTTTTTTTATATGAATAAATCGGTTTCCTTGGGGAGATATTGTAAAGCCTAGAAGATATGATGCCCCTCTTTAATTAAATATTTTTAAATCAACACCAAATTGCGTACGAGAGAATCGCTTTCCAGTAATTCATTTGTCCTCCTCACTGTGTTTTTCTTTCGAAAAGGGAGAGGTCCGAACAGTTAACTGGATTTAGGGTTTTTTTCGTCGGTTGAATTTGGGCCGAGGCCCATTATTAAAATTTGGGTTTTCAAAGTTTTTAGCCCAAAACCTGAACCCGGAACCGAATGCCCGTATCAATCCCTCGTTTTCAAAGTTTTTGGACCAGGCGCTTTGACTAGTCTTGGGTGAGTCATTGGTTCAAGTGGGATACTTCCCTTCTACGTTTCTTAATTCTTACTAATTATTTCAATTAATTTTGAATGCTTAACAAGATTTGCTTTTTTTTTTTTTTGGTTAAGGGTGGTTATTTTTATGTTAGAATAAGAATATATAAATGTCGACCATTGTAGCAAACAAAGGCAAAGCCGAAGAATCTCTCAGCCGCACGTGTCCTTTTGGCCTTTTCCTTAAAAGAAACAAACCAATATTAAATAAACCATTAAAAAACGAATTATCGTGAATATTATTATCAAAACTTGGTTTTATTATTGAGATTCATACATAAAAACAAAACAACAAAAATGATAACTTCGTTACATTTATCTATCCATTAAATTAGCGAAACATAACAATAGAAATAAATAGTAGATATATTAGAAATAACATAATTATAATATTTATGTATGCAATACTCGAAATTATCTTTCTAAGATATGCATGCATGCCCTACGTGTCTTATATCTGTTAATTTTTCCCTCAATTTGAGAAAAGAAGAAGCATTGTTCAATCCTTTAAATTGGAATATGTTAACGGAAAACCGACATGTGATTCCGGCGATACTGTCACCAATTATAATGTTTTATATTCAATTAAAAATCATTTTGTGTGCTCGAGAATCGAACCAAATCAAGAATAATATAAAAAGCATAACTTGGTGTTGGCAAGAAATTGCCGTGACTTTTCCCCCAAGTCGTCGATCTTTGTCATGTTCTTATTAATATTCTTTTAATTTATTTTATTTTATTTTAGGTGATCATGCTTCATTGATATATGATATATTTTCCAGGCGGTTTGCTGCTTTATAACACGAACCCTAGTCAAGAAAAGGCTCTACTCCATCTCTGAAACTCTCTCTCCATTGCCCTTGCATTAATCTCATTTTGGTCCAAGTGTAAGAAAAGAAGCAAATTAAACCCTAACAAGATCTCAATCTCCCTTCATTTCTTTCACTTGCTTGCATGCCAAGTAACTAATTCCTTAACTTATTAGTCATAGAAAAGGTATATCTTACAGGGATGGCGAGGCCGTACACATTCAACCCACCGGAGGAAGAGCTCATCAACCACTACCTGAATAACAAGATCGCAGGCAATGATGATTTGGTGGAGAGTGAGATCAATGAGATCAATATCTGCCAACACGAACCTCATAATTTGCCCGGTAAAACCTGTCATCTATCTCTAAACAATACGCTTGTTGTATATTTCCACTCAATGCTTGTCAAAGATGGATGGCAAACGATCATATTAACCATATATATGGTATAAAGTCTAAATGATTATTGTTCCGGATTGTTTTATATGTATATGGCTCAAAAGGGCAGGCGAAGATTCGTTCCAGCAACACTTGGTACTTTGTTTCGAGAGCGGAGAAGTTCGGGAGATGCAACCGAACAAAGAGGACGACGAGGACAGGGCATTGGAAAGTAACCGGAAAGAGTTGTCTTGTTAAGGACAGCGGTGGTGTTCCCATCGGCTTTAAGAAGTTTCTGGTTTTCCAGGAGAGCAAGGCTTCTTCTTCTTCCTCCTCTTCTAGAAATCTCCCCCACAGGTCTACTTGGGTCATTCATGAATTCCACTCCTTACTCCAACATCGTAACAAGGTTATTTTAATGCATAATCTCTTAATATATAACGACACCTAGATCTCTCCCTCTCTCTCTCTCATACACACACACATATATATATATCTATATGTATGCCGCTTTCTCGATAAGAAATAAAAATTGATATATTGTCGTTTGGTGTGAACTATATATGTGAAGGATGTCTTTGTTCTGTGCAAACTAATGAAAAAGGGAGGGAGTGGAGGGAGCGTCGCCAGTACCGATCCCTTTCTTTCCGACCCACATGAACAGGTAATTTTTTTTTTTGAGGGGATACCTGTATACGTGTGTATGTATATATGTGCGTGTGTGTGTGTCTTACTAGAAATTATTTGGATTGTTCTTTCCCAAACTAATATTTTTTGATGTCGTATGAATAAGAAGATCACAGCAGGTGGGGATGTGATCATGCCGATGAGCTCAATGGTTCATAATCATTACAATGACGCGGAAGAGCTTTTCCCAGAATTTCATCACAACCCTAATTGGTTTTCCGTCGACCTCCTCCTCCAATCTCACTTTCATCCTTTGCAGCCGCAGAGCTTCGCCCACCCGATACCCGTGAGAACATACATACATACATACATACATACATATACACACGCGCATGCATATATATTATATGCTTGCTGCAAAAATTCAGGATTTTTCTGGGATAACACTATTCGTAGTTTAGTACCATGTCTTGTTTTATTAGAACTTGTATCTCACCAGTGCTATAGAATCCCTTTAGAAATGTAGCAAACAGGCGAATATAGAATGGATACTATATATAATAATTAGAATGCTAATTTCAATAAAACAAAACATGTGCTAAAGTTAATATAGTGTTACTGCATGCTACTTTAAAATATTTTTAATTAACAATTTAAATGAAATGGCATATATATATATATGCATGTGTGTGTGTGTGTGATGTATTCAAATTATATATATACACATATGTGTGTGCATGCATGCGGTTTCTATTATTTATTCATGTGGAATATATGGTGCAAGACGTGGAATGGAGGAGTGCCAATCGGAGAAGCAGATTCTGGGATGAACCCTAACTATCAAGAAACGGGGGAATTAGCATGTGGCAGCCACGTGTACGGCCCAAACACCGAGGTGAGATACTAATTCAAAAATACCTCTCTTGCAAATATATACATATATATATATATATATTAATTATTTTGTTTTTTCCTCCCAAAGGTTTCGGGAGGAGTCGGGGGATATGGGAGCAGTGGCCAGACACGGTTTCAGACCGGATCTAAGGCCGGCACACTTGGATTTGTGGACCCCAGGGATTTAGATATTCTGACACGTGGTGATATATCATTCGACACCCCACCTACTCTTCCCTGATGACTATGGGACAGCTAAAGATCCAACGGTCACCCCTGACCCTATGGATTTCTCCCATTTATAATTTAATAATAAATGCATGGAATTGTAAATTAGTGGGAGAAATGAGCTGCCTTTTATTGTGCAAATCTCTGGTCCGTTGTATTCAACACCTTAATGAAGTTTGGGAATCTAACTTGTAAATTCCACGTGTCAAAACACAAAAAACTTGAAGAGAATTTTCAGTTGGGGATCGTAAAAAAAATAAAAATAAATAAAAAAACACAAAGAACGTAGTCCCTTGATTATTAAACTGAAGTGAGATTTCGAAACACGAAAGTATCATACAAAAAAAAAACAAAGGGTAAGAAACAGCAGAAGACACGTGGGAGGACGTGCCTAATTAAATTAACGCCGAAAGCGGGGGGGGGGGGGG